CTGCCGGGCTCTCGCAAATGTGAGCCTTGATAATTTTTTCAAAGATTTTGCTGAGGATGGAGGTGAGACTGACTGGCCTATAGTTGCCCGGGTCCTCCTTCCTCCCCTTCTTGAAAATGGGGACCACACTGGCCCTTTTCCGGTCCTCCAGGACTTGGCCCGTGCACCACGAGTGTTCAAATATTCCCGCCAGTGGCTCTGCTATGATGTCGGCCAGTGCCTTCGGCACCCTCGGATGGAGCTCATCCGGGCCTGCCGACTTAAAGGCATCCAGTTCTTCCAAGTGACTCTGCACCATCTCAGGGTCTACGCATGGAAGTCTGGCGCCTTGCTGCTGCCTCTCTACAACCCCAGTGTGAGATTTGTCATGCCCCTCACTTAGGAACACTGAGGCAAAGAACTCGTTGAGGAGTTCAGCCTTGTCCCCCCTGTCCGTCCGTCACCATTGTTTCTGCCCATCCTGTGCATGCACATCTCATTCAGTGTATCAAATGCCCCTGTGGGAACTATGTAGGTGAAACCAGACAGGAACTATGCATCAGAATGAACTCTCACAGAAAAAAATATAAAAAATGACAGACATACACACCCCAATACCAGCAAATTTTTCATAGAACCACCACTCCCTATCTGACCTCATAATCTTCCTGCTCAAGAGAAATTCACAAAAAACCTCTAGAAGATGGGCCTGGAAACAGAAATTCATAACTTCACCAGACAATTAAAAAAGTTAGTCTTAATATGGGTAGTGGCTTTATGGCTCATTACAACCATACAAATCCTACCAATCATCTCAGTGCACTTCACATGCAATAACTATTCCCTTCTTGAATGGTCTCATGCTCTCACCAACTACATTGCTTATTCTACTGCATGTCTGTCTTAGAATGGTTCTGTTCATATCTCTTCATTCCTAGTTCACTGCCCTCCTCCAGCCCTTTAAGCAAACTGTGGGCATATCTATACATGACACTATGTTGCCACAGAAACATGGCATCAGTGGTCACAAACCATGATGCCGCAGCTTCATCACCATAGCAGAGTACTTCCTTGTTATAGGATGTTCCTATGGTGAAATAGCAGCTAAAAATAACTGCGCAAGGTGCAGTATGGGCTGCTGTACTTCCAAAAGGAAGTACTATAATGATGGCGCAGTAACAAAGGCACCATAGGGACACATATATATGTGCTGTGTTTGTATTTGCAAGGCAGCTTATGTCCAATTCCCCTTCAGACCCAAGAAAAGGGCACCTACTGCCCAAAAGCTTGTCCAACAGCTCCCCCAGCTTTACAGCTGGTCCAATAAAAGGTATCACAAAAAGCCTCTCAATAAAAGTCACTATGCACAACTTTTTTTTCTGATAGCATACATACATATTAATTTTGAAAAATGTACTCTAAAAATCAGGAGAGGTATAAAATAAAAGCATGAATCCAGTTTTTCATTCTGCTTCTCCAGTTTATTCATGCAGAGTTGGGATTTCCCTATTATGCGTACTAACCAAACATTTAAAACTAGCTTTGCAAGAATTTTTTACCCAAGGGCCACAGACTTAACTGTGCTTTGCATTGCTCTGCTTTTTGTTCCTGAGAATTTAAAAATGCAGCTATATCTTATATTATACTTAACTGCGACTACTAATCCTCTTTATAATCATATCCATGCATTAGATTAAATCCTTATCCATTTTAAATTCATGATATTTTCAATTAATCTTTGAAATCTGTGCCTAATTTTCTTTGTGGAATGTGTGACAGCCTTCAGATTTTGAAGCAAACATGCAATACTAGTGTACAGTCTAAATGAAATAATGTTTTTTCCCTGTGTTCCACTGCTTTAAGAGAGAGCACAGACTCCACACTTCAGAGTCAAACTGCCAAGGAAGCTTTTCAAAAAAGTGGTGAAGAATCGATGAGACTGGGGGTACAACATAGACCTGGAATTGTGCAACTGTATGCAACAGACTCTCTGATCTTTTTGTCTGTTAGTGCATTCCATGCACCCCCAAAAAAAAGTTTCCAAAAGGTATCAAAGAAAAGGACAAGGAAAAAGATCAATAGTTGGTTTGTGGCTCCCCAACAAATGAATGGTTGGCTAGATGATGCTACAGGCAAGAGCCATAGAAAACGTTTTTTGTTTTTTTAGTACATAGTAGGCGATTTCAAGCCCTTTGAAAATAGGAGATGGTTCCATTGTCTTTGACTTATGTTTGTTTCCCGTCTGTTGCAGAAATACAAGCACTCAAAATGAAGAATACTAAGGGGAAGCCTGAGGGTGTGGAGGGCATCATTATCTGTCTTCTCAATAAAGAGATTGAGGCCTTCAAAGTAAGCCCCAAATATATTCTAAAACTCCAGCGAGATTCTCGAGAGATTCCTAAACTCCACAGCTAAGAAGAGCAGTTCTCAATGTTTCTGTGACAGTTACATATGAAAACTTGTAAATTTGTTTCTTCCAATCAAATACGTTCAAATACGCCCTTTTCAGCAGAGGTTCCTTTTAACTCAATTGCCTGCTTTATTATTACTATTATTATTATTATTACTATTATTACTACTATTATTATAGATTTACTGCTGCTATTACTCAGTACTGGGTGATAACACTGCAAGTCCATTCTCTTGGAAGATGGCTCAGTTCTTTGTGAGCATTCTCTGAGGTTGGGCAACTAACACAGGCATCTGCCAAATTTCTGTATTAGATACTTGAAGGGCCTTGCTTATGGAGAACGCCAATGTTCCTGGCCTACAGTAATGTCTTTCACCTTCTGAAGTGGAACTTGGAGCAGTTTAGCTACCTCATTTGTTTCTATAAGTTCTCTTATACCTTTGTACAACACTTAAGCCCCTGCTACACATTACAATGATTACACAATTAACTGGTTAATCACAAAATAAATTTAGACTGGCCACATGTGCAAAGTAATCGTCACACCATAAAAATGACTTTCCAACTATAAAAAGAGCCAATCCGTTCAAAGTTAGTGCTTGAAAATGGGCAATAACTCTATAAGCTGGTTTCATATATGTATATGATGTGAATATGATTTTTTTTACATTCCAAGTAAAAAGTGCACTCTGGCACTGATACTTACTTTGTTAGGTTTCTAGAACCCAAGGTCCAGTAATGAGAAAATATCTTGTTTTCATGAGGTAGTGACTTTGCCTGAAAAAACGTGTGATGCTCTACACAAGATTTCCACAGATTTTTGCATGCTCTGTAATTTAACATGTTGAAGGCAACAATATGCTCTCTGGTTTCATTCTGGAACAACAGGAAACATTATGCATGAATGATGATTAACCATAGTAAGTACAATATTAGAATTCATCTAAAACTTTAAAGGTGATTTACAGCTAACTGCAATTTATAGCAGATAACTAGAGTCCACAGTAACTACAAAGAATCAATAGAATAACAAAAAACTGACAGATCCCCTAGGATTAACTTCCAAGTAATAAAAATCCACATTGACAGAGAATAAATTTGAAATGACAGAATTTTTTTACAGTCACTTCTCTAAACACTTAAAGTGAAATGCCCACTGATAGTCATGGAATCTGTGTAAGCCACGTGCCCAGAGAGCTGAAGTTGTTAAGTAAAACTATCTCTGTATAAGACTGAGTGCAATAACCCGCTTCAAAGTTAGGAACATCACCTTTTTGATAGTCTTTTGGTACTAAAGATTGTAATAACAACTGTCCATTTTCAGGAAAAGAGAATTAGCCAGTCAAATTGCATCATAGATGCCACTTTCTTGAAGACAAAACAAGAAGTACAATGAAAAGAATAGCAAACAAACCTAAAAAAAAGGCAGCTTCTTTCTCTTACTTGCAGCCTTCTTGTGGAAGAAATAGAGGCACACCATATGGCCCCATCAGCTATGCTGAGATGTGATAGAGTCAGACTACTTTAAGGTCTTCTTTCCCAGTAGCTCTCAGGGCAAAGTGAAAACAGTCTTATAAAGGATGTAGTTTTGGCTGGCTAAGCCTGAGACTTAAAGAGAGGGCATATATTCCCAAAGAGATACAGGAAAGAAAAGTTATAAGGTGGAAAGGAAAAAGTACACGAGATTGAAAGCAGACACTCAAATATCGCATTCTAGGTGCTGTGTAGAATTTAGATGGAGCTACAAGTACTGTTTCTTTTTATTGCCCAAGCTTATAAAGACATTTTTCAGGATCAGACCAATAAAGGGCCCAATGGTGTCAAAGATGGGGATGGAAACCAGGACGGTGAGCTTGTGCTTACCAATTCACTCATCCCACTGGATATCATGATTCTTTCCCAAAATCATAAGAACATAAGAAATGCCAGAATAGGTCAGGTCTATCTAGCCCAGTATCCCACATCTTATACTGGAAGAGTAAAGGGCCTTTTTTTTCTTTTCTTTTTTTTAGGTGCTTCATTCATTTTGTCCACCAATAGGTCTAATTTCCAGCATCAATTATGCGTTTCTAATTTCAAATCACCAATTATTGCGTTTCCTACTCGCAATCATAACAGTCCATACATGGTACCAGCAAACTACATTTTGAGTCTAATCCATTCTTTCTGTTGCCCTTTTGTAGATTTGTCTATCAGCATTTATTGGTACAGGTGACTGTGAAAAAAAAACTTTCACACACCTCCAACCATTCAGCTAACAACTGGGTTAGTCTTGCTAGATCCCAATTATTACAGTATTGTTTACCTGTTAAAATACATGTAGAGACTCAACATTTGAGAGATTATTTATCTGTGATACATTCCAAATCCTCAAACCACTTAAAAGCTGATTGCTTTACTCACATTAATCATATGTATGTAAATCACTGAGGAAGGTGAACAGGATTTGGCCCTTATATTGTACGTGGACATTACAAAAAGTCTTATTTGTTTTATGGTCAAGCTTAATATACGCACCTGTATGTATCTATTTAAAAATATTTGACCATGGCCTATTTATACACTAGTAAAATGTATTACATTGAGTTTAAACTTTCATCCAGGATATAAGTTACTCAGTCACAGCTATTTCGCTTAGAGAGATCACATTGAAAGTACACATTTTTTGTGATAATTTAGCTGGTAGGAATTTTTTCCCCTTACATAAAAAGAGCATACAATGAGTAAAATGTTAATGGCAACTTATATATCTTAACTAGCCCCTGCTGCATTGTTCAAAAATGGCTTAAGTTATCATACTATTTCTGTGGAAGAACAGTGGAGAAGGGAAAAACAAACATCCAAATAATTTTGTGCTGCAAGAATAATAATCTTTTAAGTTGCCATAAAATTGTTTGCTTGAACCTTTCAGTTTAGTTCTGTACTTAATGCTCACAGTTCTAAGGCAAGAGATAAAATTTACCCTACTTGAAGTATTGATTGGATAAGATAAATTCCAGTTTGCCAAGTTGCACCTGCATTCCTTCCCTATTCACTACCACTGAAACTTTTTCAAACAATCTCCCTCAGTGGGCTGAAAACTCAAATAATTTCTCTCATCTTGAGAGATGAACTGTTTTTAAACATTTCACACCCATCTAGTCAGCTTTTTTATATTATTTATTTACTAATGCAAAAAAGTTGAATGAAAAGCACTTTTTGTTGACCAAGAAACTAAGACCCAAATCTTATTTCACATCTAAGACAACTGAGTGTGATCTTATTTCACCTTATTCAAGTCTGAGGAACTATTAACATGTTATTTTTTGTAACATATTTTCATCCTGGCCTTAAGAGTTCTGCATTAACATTGTTTAGAGACTCTAGTATGGTGGAACATGATCATAATTGGATGCCTTCAAGACAATGTAAGATTTGAGTCTAAGCCTAAAAAACTCGCCCAACCCAAGGTCCAGTAGCATTGTTGTTCTTGGTTTCCCTGATGACATGCCAGACTTCCTCTAGGAAAGGAGGCTTGGCAAGGGATCCTCTTTCAGAGGTGCTGGGGAATGGACTCGATGGTAGTATCTGCCAGGGTTGACTCACAATTCAGGAGTGCCTCAACATGCTCTTTACATCTAACTTGGAGAGATTCATGGTCTTTGAGGAGCACTGAGCCATCCTGCAATTGCAAGAAAGTAGGACTGTGGGAAGTTGGGTTGTAGATGGCTTTTGTTGCTTGGAAAAATGCATGTCATTTTTGTCAGCAAAGAGTTGAATCTCTTTGGCTTGATCTTGTCACCACTCTCACTGCACCAGTCTTTGTGAAGACAGGTAATATAGCCAGTGGATTCAGAACAGACCATATGGACAGTGGTTTTAAACCCCTTCCAGAGTTCCTCAATGATGCCTTCATTTGTGGACAGGACAGAGAATTTTCCAAGGAGACAATGATAGAAATCCTTACAAGCCTCCAGGTCTCAAAGAGTTTTGGTGTTAAGAGTCTTTTGCATTGCTTTTGCTTGTTTTCACAGTATTTCTGAGCAAATCAGATGCTCATAATGGATCTGGCATGGTGAGCTGTCCACCGGTCATTGGTTACTTGCATGTCTCATGTGATACAGATATCCATTCAATCATGAGCTCTAACAATAACATAATTGAGGAGGTGCCAGTGCTTAGAGTGAGGGCGTCTCCATATGTTCTTGTATTTGTCACACTGTCTGAAGATAGTGTCAGTGATAAGACCATTCTCCATGCATTTGCTCAGAAGAAGGGTGTTGTTGCAGTTGGCTTTCCCTATTCCATCCTTACCAGTGGTGCCACTCCAAAGTTCCAAGTCACATCCAACTCTAGAGCTAAAATCACCAAGGAGAATGTTCTTGTCCCCCTTGGGAACATTAGATAGAATGCTGGTCAAGGCTGCTCTGTTCTTTAACATCATTGTAGGGGGATACGCACTGATGTTGGTGGCGTACTGGTTGCTGCTGAGTTTAAGATGAAGGGTCATAAGATGTTCATCAATGCCTGCAGGGGGTTCTGCAAGTTGACTGACAAGCTGTTTCTTGATAGTGAAGCAAATGCTATGAATGCATCCATCCTGGTCCAGTTTCCCCTTCCAGAAGGCAGTGTAGCCTCCACCCTCTTCCCTCATTTGACCGTCATCCAGTTGTCTGTTCTCACTCACAATATGGACTTTGCAGCTCTATCTCACTAGTTTCCCTGGACACGATAGCAGTTCCTCTTTCTGGTTGTTCATCATTTTAGTTGTCCATCAAAATCCGAATCTTCCATGTTGTGAAAAGCGTTGCCATCTTACACTTTCAAATGCAGAGAGAGTGATCCCACTGGATGCAGTTATCCAGCCATGAGCAGATAAGATAGCCTAGGTTTACAACACCTTTTCTAGCCCCTTCCCCATGTAAGATGAGCAGAGAGGATCCTGAATAGGACTGCTCAGTCATGGCAGCAGCTACAGAATTGCACCCATGCCTCAACCCAGGTGCAAGACAGCCATCAGGCTACCATAGGCTGTGTGCTGATTTGTGGCTGGAGACTGCCAGACTCACTAATCTCGTCTCTGTCACCACTGGACCACTGCTGCAGGGCTTTTGCAGGTTGGTATAGGAGAGCATGTTATTTCCTGTGGTAGAAACCTAGACATGACTTTGATTAATGTGAGGAAGCTGGTGCATGGAAACAACCACATGAACTTGACAAGGTGGAGATGCGAGCCCAGTGGCAAGCAATAACCCTAGAAGACAGGAGACCTACACCTTCCTGTAGCCTTCTTCTGTCTTTATAGCCACTGAGATCCTGACATCATCTTCTATCCAATTGGCTGTTGAGCACTTGGGGTTAGATTGCAGTTTGTCCGAAACCTCCCCGCAAGCCTGTTCACCATGGGTGACCTTAATAAGAGCATAAGACTCCAGGTAACAGCTCTGAGGTCACACAAAGAAGCCTTTTCCTGGTCTCAAACCAACCAGAACCAAGTCAAATTGAAAATACCAGTCTGAATGTGGTTTCCTACAATGAAACAACAGATTCTTTATGGTGACACATCCCTTTCATCAAGTCACAGCATAGTTGGACTGCAATCAGAACTTCTAGGGGGCAAGATTAATTGCCCTATGTAGGCAGAGAGGGATATATATGACTAGGAGGATATACATGGACATTTAACAGTGCACCTGGCCTGTTTTTTTCATGCATGATGAGAAATACTGAATGGTTATGCAGCTGGCTCTATTTTCCCTAAGGGTCTAGAGCATGGTGCTGTTTGCATGGCTATGATTTTATCCTGTTATTTTCAAACATGGAAAGATGACAACTTAAGCAATGGAGAAAGTTATAAATCAGTACTTTCAAATTCTGTCATTTTTCCACACACAATAAAAAGCTTCTCAAGAGCCTGAACTTGGAGAACACTGCCCTTTTCAGAGTTGATACAGCTCTCTAGAATTTGTAATTTAACTGGTTTTGACAGTAGTGAAGAAGTCATCATGCTTATCTGTTTAAACTGATCTTTACTTCTACAGCTTGATAGATAATGAAATTTGCATCCCCTCGAGTTCCAATAAATTGTTCAGAGGGAACACACACATTTCCTTTATTTTTTTCACTGTTTGCCAATATTCACCCCAGACAGATTTTGTTTGAATACCTGTTTTGGAAACTGCTTTCAGATAAATGCCAATACTTGCCCTGAAACAGGGACATTCAAATATGAACAAGAATATTTGCTATTCATTATTTGATATTTCATTCAGCCAAGCAGGCAACATAAACAATATTTCATGACTGAAGTGACTAATTTGTGAGGTGGGATCGGTCCAAATGAGTAAATGAACAGCTGATCAATCATCTAGAGGGTGAAATTAATCTGCATAAATTGACAAATATTTGCAAATAACTAAGAGTAGAAATTAGAACCAGTCTACAAACTCTTAGATGCCAATTGTCAGTAGATTTTGACTCTCCTTTCTACCTTTCCATAAAATATAACAGCTTTATTTTTTGAGAGACCTGTGCACACCCTGAAACAACCACAACCATAACCGCATTTAGATTTTGCTTGGCATGTGGAAGCCACAATACCCCAAACTTCCCTGATAGGATCTTTGAAAACACAGAACACGCATGTACACACAGCTCACAGACCCTGACATCTACACAAGATCGCTACCCACCACCCTGTTCAAAAACACGGGGAAGAAAACCTCAAGAGTAAAAAGGTCCATGACTTACACTTCCTGTGGGGCTTTTGCTTTGCAGGTCCTAACCGGGGTCCAGAAGTTCTTTTATGTCCCAACTACTAGCTGTCTAAGAACTACCCAACTATTATTATCCACTAGATAACCGGGGCACTATTCAATCTTACTAAAACACACTGGAATCATCAGATTTCCTACAAAGCCATTAGACAATGCTGCAATAAGTCACTAGGTGGTTTGTTTTCCTGCTAGAAGCAAGTATTTTGAAGGCCCCCAACAATTCGCCTATAAATGAGCCTCTGGCAACTTTTTCAGAAAAATGAGGTTTCATTTCAATTTCTATTTGATCAGAATTAGGTTACAGTAATTACATGAGGGTCCATGTACTTGCTGCCATTAATATTTTTGTTGTGAACTCTAGACATATCCAAATTTAGCTTCAATTAAATAGGAAATACTGTACAACCTTAGTCAAAATTAAGTTTATATTTATTTCTCACTATACCAAAATCCCTGCATCTTCAGAAGTATTTTGACTATATGTTACTAAATATGTACTTCTGTATTTTGTCATCTGATAGTCTAGCTAAATACTATTGGCTATATTGGGAACAAGAGAGATTAAAAATGTATTACTATATATTATAAAGTGAAAACTGTCTTTTATTACAACTGGTTTACAAAAAAAAAGCTATTATAAAGGAAACTTGCAGGGAAAAAAATACAGACATTTCTGCCTTCAATTATCTCAACTAGTTCCATCTGCAGTACCTTCCTCATTTGCCAACTTAGAGGATATTGTATAAATATTACCATATATTGCAGGAGGGACTCATTATCCCTCTACCCTTCTCTTCAAGTTACAATTTTTACTTCTCCCCAGGTGCATCCCCTGTGCCTCAAAGAGAAGTTCTCTGGGACAGCCCCTCTAGAGAGGCTCAGCAGCTGTTGAGTGGCTCAGCTGCACTGAAATATTCTATAGGCAGCTGGCCAGCAAGCAAAATGGCAGAGAAAAGGGAAGGGTCCTCTAGCAAGCTGAAGGGGGAAAAAAACAAAAGCTGATCAACACTCAGAACAGGAAGAAATACTCCTCTGCCTCCCTCCTCCCCAAACCTTTAAGAAGGAAGGTGTTGTGGATAGAAAGAATGAATACAGGTGGAGTGGAGTTGAGAGTTAAGAAATAGAGGACTCCAGCAGAAAGGAGAAAGATGAGTACCAGAGACAGCAAAAGAAAAGATATGAGAAAACTCCTTAAACTTGGTCAACTAGAACAAAACATTAAAGAGTAAGGATATCTACAAAGTCAGCTTCCCCTTCCCCATTAAACTTTAGGGACAAAATTGATTTACTGGTTCCTCTGACTACACGTCACAAGAATTTAGAAAATAATCTGATAAATGTAACAGGAAAAGAAAGCTGAGCAATTACTTACATGTTTTTGTCGTTGCTGTATAAAAAACTTTTTCCTTTTAAAGGAAATTTTTAATATGTTTGCCCTAAAAAACAAAAAACAAAATCACACTAAGTAACAATCCAGAAAGGCTGAGGAAAAAAAATTAGCCCAAGTAAAACCTAACAGATGCACTTGCAATGTCAGTCTTAAAAGATCTTTAGTTCTATTATAGCATTAAACAATTATAATAAAAAAAATGAAGCTGCCTCTTCAGCGCAGTGTGGCAGCTAACTGACCTATCAAAACAAGGACCAGAAGTTTTGGCCAAAGAGGAGGAGGATCTCTTAACATTTTTATTTCTCATTAGTTACTATCTAAATATTAACATAAGCAGGAAGCCCACTGTTATCATTTTCATCTAATAAACCAGTATATTGTACTTGCAGCAAAGACTCAGTGAAACTGTTCACTGCCTCCACACACAGAATTATTACCTTGGGCACTGAAATTGTATAAACCAGGCTTGTCAAACCAGGGTGATTGGGCTGGTCTAAGGGCTAGATTGGGACTGACCCAATGAGAAGTGCCAGGGTACTAGGGCCAGCCCACATGCTGCATGTGCCAGCCTGTGGCTTGTTGTGCACACAGGCTGGACCTTATGTGCACTGCCCATGGTGCGCAGGCTGGACCCAGAATTACATGTAGCATAGGGGGTCAATCCAGGGTGCAACATGAAGCCCACAACCTGGGCCCTCTGTGCCATGTGCAGTACTGGGTCCAGCTCATGCACTGTGGGTATAGAGAGCCCCTGGACTGGTGCATACTGCACTTGGTGCGTGGGGCTGGACTGGCTGCACACCTTGCATGCAGCACAGGGGGCTGGCACAGGATGGGCACTGCATGTAGTGTCCAGCCTGTGAGTTGTATGTTTGACACCTCAGGTATAAAGTAATGTTCTACAGTGGGTGGGAGCACAACAGAATTTAGACCTTAATAATAGGATAACAAGGGAACTTAAGGGCACCCTGTCCCCCCAAGAACTGGGGAGTGGGGCCCACCTTCCACAGGGTAGAATCTGGGTTCCTTGCCCTCTAGCCACCTTCTTCAAACCCTCCAGGTGTATCTGGTGTCCATGTCACAACAGGAACCCACAGTGGATTAACCAGATGTCCAGGTGGGACTCAGAAAATTTTTTTAGCTAGGACAATGGGTGAACCACACAACACCACTCAGCTTGCCTGGCACATCACCAGATATGCTTGCCTTCCATCATGCTCTCCTGCTGAGTCACCGCTACCTTCTCAGGACCCAAACTGCTTTCTGCCAGCCCCTTTGTGGCTCCTAACCTATTGGCCAAGCCACCAGCCACTTCTGCTGGCCCTTGACACCATGGGCCCAATGTCAACTGTTCATCAGCCCCACCCTCCCGCACGTTGAGCTGGGGAAGCCACCAGTGACCCATGCTGTATAATGCCATTACCAAGTACTTTAGAGCTGATTTTGACCACTTGCTAACAAGCTAGATAATATCTCTTTGGGAGCTGGATGTAGCCAATAGGCTGCTGAATCCTGCTCTAGAATGACTTTCAAAAATGATTTTATGTAATGCCAACCAGTCATGAATCCAGGTGTGATACAAACTGTTTTGTCACTGCTGCTGTAGCTTTCCTATAAGCCTTGTAGACTCAGTATCTTCATTTTTCTTTTATTTGACCCTTTCCTCCCTCCAAGAATGGCTCTTTCCATGACAACACTGCTTTAGAAAGTACCAGCAGCATAGAACATTGTTGAACTGATTCATATTTAAGTAATCTCCAACCATTTTCATTTGCGATGTCACACTGTTAATAAAGTGAATGTTAGCAAATAACATCATAACCCATGAAACTTCTTTATTTGTGTCTCCAATGTCCCATCAAAGGACTTAAATTTCATGAGTTCCCAAACAAACTACATCCAAAACAAGATCCAAATAAAATGCAGAATTTGGCACAATATTTTTTTTTTTTTTTGCTAGTGATAATATGCTATAGCTAAATTTCAGGGGAAGTTTGTAGGTTTTATGGCTAGGAAGTAAAGTTTTTTATCTGCAAAATAAGCTACCCTAATTTGAATATTATTGGAAAGCAATCAGCATTTTTAGCATGATTTTTTCAATGCGGATAAAACCCGTTGAGGCATCCAAAGGGAAGTTACATTTTTGGGAACACATAATAGTACAACTCACATGCAGCTGTGTGTGATCTGCCAGCTTTTTTCTCACGCAGGTTACACTGGTCATTTTATTTTTTTGCCAAAAGAGTAATAGCACTGCCTCCCTTCTTGAAAGTTTTATTCCCTTTTGCTGCTTCCATATTATCCCAGGGTTTTTGTTGAGCACTTTCATAGGGTTTGCTGCCACCTTGAGTTCTAAGCTGTTTGTGCCAATCCTGGTCAACTTAAACCACATGAAATTATATTTGATACAATGATATTTTACAGAGCAATAATCTAAGCAACCTATTATTTTAACTTTCCTTTGGGGGCATTTAACATTACATAAAGTTACATTATTCCACCTGAGTACATCCAAACCCAACTGGTTGGAACATGTGAACCATTTTAATACCTCACATAAAACTTTGTAAGCTTAAGGTGAAAGACACTGAGGATATTACTGAAATGTATCCTGTTTTATATCCCTTTATGTCAAAATGCATTGAATTCATGCTATATAATGTATATATAGTATAGAATAGAATAGCATGCTATATTTTCACAATGAACTGGGGTGCATACTATCAGTTCTGAACGAATGATTTCAGATCATCAGAAACAAGAAATATTAAAGCCTCTCACTCATATTATATTGAGTTTATAGAGGCTTCTGTGTTTTGTTTTCTGTTTGTTAACCGAGATGCTCTTTTAAAGAATTTTAGGATAATCTAGACTAATTTTATAAGCTTTTATGACACATGCTATCACAATCACTATGAATTTAAAATATTAACTGGGGGTAGCAGGGAGGTTCTAGATCGGGGTGGGCAGTTATTTGGACCCAGGGACCACATAGGGAGCTTTGATGAGTTGTTACGGGAGGGTGCACCCCCCGCCCCCCGCCTCCTCCACAACAACTCATCCATACGCTAGGGCAGAAGCTGCCTAGCTGAAGCTCCCAGCTGCCTTCCACCCACTCAGGCACCTGCACTGGGCAGGCAGAGCGGGTGAAAGGCACTCAGGAGCTGGAGCCAGATCTCTGCACACTAGGGCAGGAGCCGCCTAGATGAAGCTTCCTCCTGATCCGTAGCAAGAAGTGCCTCTGGAAGCAATGGGAGCTAAGCAGCAGCCACACTGGGAGCAGCCCTCCTGGTAACCTGTCTGCAATAGCTGAGGCCAGGCCAGCGGGTCCAGGCTGCTCCAGGAGTGGCTTAACTCTATGCGGAGCACTGTGGGACCAGCTGCGGACTAGATCCGATACACTGGCAGGCATCCCATCATTGGCCAGATTTAATCATTTGGTAGGCTGTATACAGCCTATGGGCCATCTTTTGCCCACCCCAGTTCCAGAAGTCCAATCCATGCTCTGCAAGTTGACAGATATGACAAGTGGTGCCCGATGAGAGAAGGGACAACTGTTGGCCAGGATGTTGTGCGCTTTCTTTCCTCCTCTGCTCTTTCTTCGCTTCCTGAGCAAGACAGTTCTCTTTGACATGGACTGTAGCTTGATGTACATGCAGTGCCATTGAAACCTGTTACCAGCCAAGACTTCCCAATTTGTTGGGTTGATGCCACCCTTCTTAAGGTATGCTTTAAGGGTGTCCTTGTAGCGCTTCTTCTGTCCTCTGCGAGTCCTCTTACTATGACTAAGTTGAGAGAAGAGGACTTGTTTCAGGAGATGAGTGTCAGCCATCCGCACACAGTGGCCAGTCCAGCGGAGTTCATGTTTCATAATTTTTGCCTCAGTGCTGGTTATATTAGCTGCAGACAGGATGCTGGCATTGGTTCAGTGGTCTTCCCATCTAATGTAGAGGATCTTCCTGAGGCAATGCTGATGGAACCATTCCAGGTGCTTAAGACGGCTTTAATATGTCACCCATGTCTCACATGCGTAGAGGAGCATGGGGATAACCACTGCTTTGTAGACCAGGATCTTAGTTTCCATCTGCAGATCTTGGTCAGCAAAGCGAAGCAGTTTTCCGAAGCATACGCTGGCACAGCGAATCCTATATTTGATTTCTACATCAAGACTGACTGACAGGGGGATGTGACTGTCAAGGTATGGGAAATGCTCAATGTTTT